TGTGTGTGTGTGAGCGTGTGTGTGTGTGTGTGTGTGGCGGTTGAATACGTATTCAAATGTCAAAAACAAGGAAAAAAAGAAAGGGAAAATTTGTGTTGTGCCCCTGAAAGTGGAATTTATTTGCGTCACGGCGATTCAAGTTGGAGACTAACCCCTGGCATCGATTGGGCCGGAAATATGTTCGTTATGCCCCTACCGGTACGGGTACCAAGTTTTTAGTATGGCCCTACCGGATATGGAGGGACGGGTGCAATGGGACCGGCAGTCCAGAAAGGGCGTCCCAGAAAGTTGTGCCCCCTGCCGACAGGGGTCTGCAGAAAAGCTTAGTAGCCCCAGGGGCATCACAAGGTGAGCCGGCCGTCAGAGGGCCGCAACGCAAATAAATTCAACTTTGAGGGGCGTGGCACAAATTTTCCCAAAACGAAATCATGTGTGTAGTTACTATATACCTCTCATCCACATACACTGGGAATGCATCCCTGCTATCTTTTTCTTCCATCATGACTTTTCTTATCTTTCGTCCTCTCTTCTGCCTCCTCTCTTTTCCCCCTCTCCCATGCTCTCTTTTATTTAGCTTCATATCGGATTCCTCTCCTCTCCCTTCCTCTCCCTCCTCATGTCTTTTCTGCTGTCCTCTCGCCTTTCCTTTTTTACCCAGTGCGCCGTTTCCTTTTATTTCATTTTGTTGTCTCTTTTGCCCTCTCTCCCCTTTCTTCTCCTTGTAATTCTTGCTGTCCATCTCTCCTCCTCTTCTCTTCGCTCCCTTGCTGGACTCTTCATCTCTCTTCGAGTCTATCATTTCCGATGTTCCCTGTTTCGCGCTTCTCCTCCCTCTTTCCTCTGCCCTTCCATCCGCTGGTATCTCCTCTGTCTTTCTGTTTTCGCTTCTGTCACAAGGAGAAACCTTCTTCGGTCCTAATTTTACCCACCCTTCCTCATTTCCTCTCCTCGGACCATCTACTCTCGCCGTTTCTCTAATCTTGCTTTTCATCAACTGGCATGTCATCGTAGGCTACCAGAGTGGGCCGGGACCACTTGCCTGGCCGGGTCGGGAAAAAAAA